CGCAAGCTATCAACGTTAGGGGTTACTTCTTAACAGTATTTATTGAAAGTACAAGGAGAAATGTTGCAAGACCCATTTTACGTTATTGAGGCACCCAAATATTTTTCGTTGTTGCTGAACTGCATCCGAAAGATGTCCCTGCGAATAGGAGTACTGAACTTACTAAATGCGACTTATTAATATGACGTGACATAGAACTACACGTGTGTACGGAAGGAATACTAAAAAAAAAAAAGATATTTTAGTGACCTCAGAGAAACAGCCGAACGTTGGCAGTCGCTGTAACTCTCACACGAGCGTCGTTCTTGAGTTATTGCCCAAGTTTCGACTCCCTCTGTACTTTGCTTAAAAGAGCTATAAAAATATTCCTATACATTACTAAATACTACTCAGGATCACTCCCTAACGTTAATAACTGATTGAACCTGGCTTTGCTATTTTTTTCTAGGCAAAGCAGTCGCCAAAAAAATTAGAGAAGAGCATCGTTCATCCCCTCAACTCGGAGCCAGAAGCGGCCATGTGGCCTGGTGCCTATCTTATGCCGCCAACGTTAATCATACCCCTGCGCTGGCGTTTTAAGGAAGAAAACACACGCTCAGTTCCAGGCACTGTTAGAGTTCGGCTATTCTCATCACCGCAGTGGTTGGACAAGAGCCACTACCCAAGTGTCCACCGAGGCATTGTTTGTTACGAGCCGATGTACGGTGCTCACGCAGTCCACCTGTCTAATCCATGAGCCGCGCTCGACTGTCGTCAGACGGGTGGTTTTGACCCTACAATTGCGACATCAATCCGTGGGAAGGCAAGACTACAAGAAATAGTCTAATTTAATCTTCGCAATTTCACCGCGACAAAGAAGCTTCTGAATTAGTGGCAGCCCTGTGCGAGTATACTTGGGCCAGAGGACCAGTACGCCTCGGAAAAGTCATGAACCCGATGTCGTTTTATCACCCATCTAAACTTCACGGGGTGCAAAATAAAAGCAATAAAGGGTTACGGTTAAGAAGTGTCAAATAAAATTGTCAAATTAGCACACACCAATGGAGGAGGCAATTCCTCGGGAATACTTTCAGCCTTTTCACTCTGGTGAAGAAGGAAGACTAGCGATCAAGCTGTATATGGTGTAAATGAAGCAATGGCCGGCCGCAAGCCGCCAAGCCAGAGTGGAAAGGCTGGAGAGGTTGCCGCCATCTATGCACGACGGCGGCAACCAGACAACCAGCAAGCCGGTTATCTGGTTGCCGTCGTCCTTAATAGATGGCGGTAGCTGTCCAGAGTTTAGTGTCATCATTTGTTTCCTGACGGACACGACACTGGGGAAACTAGCCCTTAACAGTTCCGCTGTATAAAGAAGTTCGTGGGTGTGTGTGTGTGTGTGGGGGGGGGGGGGGGGGGGGGGCGGACGGAGGGGGGAAGCGGGCGAGCTTTAAAAACATACTGTGTTGTAAAGGTTCCTCTTCCCTGCATCTTTGGCGCAGACCAACAAGCGTGACCCCGGAAACTACTTTGCTGGCATAAACGCTCTTACCAAAAAGCACGTTTTTGTCGTGCCAGACGCTCGCGCCGTTCCTAGCGAAAAGCGTCTGACTCGCAACTAAAGGGTCGTAAGTTCGAATCTCGCAAAAAGTCTTAATTTTTTTCTTTAAGGCAAAATAATTACTTTCAAAAGTGAAATCATTTGAGACATACGGCGACCTTTATTTCGCATTACATGTCATATTTTAATCACACTCATTCCACGCGTGATGTCACGTTTCACGTGATCATTGTGGGTTGCTCGAAATTCTTGCGCGAGGGTATGCAGCTCTGACGTCATGAACCTATCGACCAATCAGGATTTTCCAGTCACGCCACCGACATCGGCTTTTCTGCGACATGAGCTCCTTAACGCTATCGAGTTAAAATCATCAGTTAGCAAAAGTGATGCTCCTTTGCAAATTAAATTGACCGGCATCTTGTCAAGAACAAACCTGAACAGCCAGGCTATGCCAGCTTATTCTGCATAAGAAAATGGTCACTTGGACAAGCGCTATTTTGGGCCGGATTTGATCTGAGTGCGAAGGTGCGTATAGATTAGAGTGAACAATTGTGATTACTTCTTGCTGCATGATTAGTGGCATGCATGCGGTGCTGAGTGTAAAGAATATTTGGTTAGAACAACAAGCATTTGGATTGCCGCTCGGTGTTTCTATAAAAAAATACACTGAAAGGAATTATCCTAAAACTTTTGTTACATTCTGAAAATGTAATTGATTTTAGTTCAGTTGTGTCGTCATCATATACATATATATTGTGAAGTGTATTTCGTAAACCTTATTTCATAATTAGCATGGGCACCGAGGTGCTCATTTCATAATTTTATGTGCGGTAAATCATTCGTTAGTTCAAGGACACAATCACGATTTCATTTTTAACACTGCGACACAAAGTATAGTACCAATCACGGGTATTTTAGGCGACCTACCACACTTTGCGACAACATTTTATACCATGTAAATAGATAAGCTTGAACTTTAGAATTTTACTTAAACACGAAGAAAGCACAATAAAATACAGTATAGTTCTAAATTAGAAACTGATCTATTTACAGGTATGTACCAACCATGGCTAAATTCTGTACTCTTGTACTTAAACATTTTGATTCAGGTAAAATATGTGTTACTGGTAAACAAAGGGATGTGGAGTCGTATGAACACGACGTTATGTATGTTAATGTACAGGGTGTCACGAAAGAAAATTTACACGGTCTTTTTTACCACAAAAATAAACTAGGCATCGCCCAACGCTCATTCTCCGCCCAAAGGTAGCGCTAGAGGCCACAACCAGGCAGAGTATGGCTCTGCAACCAGGTGCCAAAGTTTCAGCCCGATTCGATAACTTAATCAAAAGTTATAAGTGGTCTTCTGAAACTTTGAATGAGAAAATGGCGGCCGACAGAGTTTTCGAACACATGGGGCTCTATGGTACCACAAACCCAAAACGGGCAAAAATGCGCTCCATTTTCCCATTGAAATTTTGAAAAAATCACTTATAACTTTTGATTAAGTTATCGGATCGGGCTGAAACTTTGGCATCTTGGTGTGACCTCCAGCTCTACCTTTGAGCGGAGAATGAGCGTTCGACGATGCCTAGTTTATTTTTGCGGTAAAAAAGACCGTGTAAATTTTCTTTTGTGAAACCCTGTAGATTTGTTTCTACTCTTGCGTCGAAATTAAATAACTGAATTTCATATTTTGGCACCTAAAAACAAAATTGAATTGCACGGACGATCGAAGAAACAATAGAGTTAATCGTTTCGCGGCGTAAATAGTGTATATTGCCAGAACAACGCGAAAAAGATATTCTCAATTTAGCGGTTCAAACCGGTTCGAACCGGTTTGAACCGTTATTTTTTTGCTCCCCGGAACTGAACCGGAACCGAACCGAAAGTCGTGAACCCGAACCGGAACCGAACCGATAAAAATTTCGGTTCGACACTCCGCTGCCAACACCGTCAAAATTGCAGTTCTTCCATTCCTTTTGTTTCCGTCGATGGGAAATCCTTTGCTGACGTCATAGTCAGCATTCGGCCTATCGTGGAAGACCGATCACAGCGACGGTTTCGATCGCTCACGTCGCCAATATTTTGTGCTACATTGTCAAGGCTAGCGTAGCTTCCCCTGTGGAGCAGTCCCGTACTGCTGCGAGAGCGCGTGGTTTTGTCTTTTTTGCCTCATTTGCATGCGCTCGCGAAACTACATTGATAGAGTTGGAGCGCTGTGAAAGCTAAGCTAGCTTTGACAGTAGCATAAAATAGTTGACTCCAAGTATGGTGCTGCTGGAACGCGTCTCCGACTGGTGTGTTTACCGCGTCCAAAAAAGTGGTCCCTAGATTTCCGCCTGATGACGTCATATAAGTGTCATGCTGTCACCGGTTGCGATCCTGGCGGTGTTCCAACAGCTGTGCTGTGTACGGAAGACGCCTGTTCTGCTGTAGGTCGCTCTCCGCTGTGACAGTCCACGGAAGATACAGCAGCCGGGAGTTGGGACGCCGTGGCGACAGCGACACTCGCGTTCGCTCGTGCTTTTTGCCAGCACTTCTACGTCCAACCGTCAGGATCGCGACAGGCAACAGCATGCCACTCCGGCTTCTGTGACGTCATTTGTTGCCACTTTGGGACCACTTTTGATGCCTGAGCGGGATAGGACGCTAAACACGCCAGTCGGAGACGCGATCCAGGCACCATACTCCAAGCACGCGGAGAGCAAGTCGCCTGCTTCTTGCGCAGGGGTTGCGGTGACGTCAGAACGACACCGAGCTCGGATTGGTTTTGATTGAAAGGCTAGTGTGTAGACCTCAATGCTAAAGTTAAAATCTATCTACCTTTTTTTTTTTTTTTTTTTTTTTTTTTTTTAGGCGAAAGTTTTATATGTTTTATCGCTCAGTCGAAAGTCTTAGAGCGAAAACACATCGGCAACACGAAAAGTACAAAAAGTCGTCTGAGAGAGCGCTGTCTTCAGAGGTTCGCTATCACGTTTACATTGGCGCTTAGGATTTCGCCTTGAAATCGTCTTAGGGATAACATAAGAAACCATGCGAATTTTTTTCAATCAGCCAATAAGGGCCTGACGTTCTGACGTTGTCGCAACCCGTGAATAGAAACCAGTCATAGAAGTAAAATGCGCAAGGAACACCAGGGTTGCTTCTGTGGGAACTGTGTTGTGCACTATGAAACCCATTTATAAGAACAATCTTTATTAATTCCTCATGCAATATTGTTTCTGAATGGTGTCAGTGGTGATGCGCATTTTTCTGTCTCGGGACCGTTTCGAAACCGAAACCAGTAAACACAAAAACTGTTCAAGTCAAAAGCGCAATTTGTTGATATAGTTAATTTATTTTAAGTTTGCTTTATGCTTTAGAATTTCGGTTATTTTAAACTTGGATCTAAAAGTTCCCCAAAAATTCGCAGAAAACAAAAGTTAAGATTATCAAGCCAAGTCAAGTCAAACCAAGGTTTAGTTTACAAAATGGCGTCCTGCTCTGGTGCTGCAGGGACTAGTGAGAAAGAGAAGCCGGTTTGTTCATTTATCAAGAAACCGAAATTTAGGAAAGGCAATCAGCGAAAACGAAAGGGGCAGCGATGAAGACGGTGAGTACATCTTCGCAGTTTTCCGAGCGCTATGTGGGCCCAAGTTGGACTTGGACGTCTGCTGTTGAAAGTTTTACCGCACCGATTCATGTGCGCTAGTTACTCATAAGGTCGAGTACGACGGTGATCGGTGCCACTAGCTAGAGTTTTAGTTCTTGAGATTGAATCGTTCATGTTATTTTTACCCCTTAGCTAGCAGCGAAGATGAAACCCAGATTGTCAAGAAAGACAAAAAATCGGAATTCTTGAACCCAATGATACAAGGTGTAAGTATGCATCCGTCAAACATTTCCCTACCTTCAAGGAGACGTGGTAGATTGATCACTTTCTATTCCAACGTTATTTTTTTTTTGTTATTTACATTAAACGGTGCGGGCAATAAATACCCAGTGCTGAGCATGAAAAATAAAGTTGGATAGAAATAAAAGATGTACACTTGCCTTGATTGGTTGTTTGTGTTCTTGTCTGTTTGGTTCTGTGTGGTTGGAAAATCCAGCTTCACGGGGATTATTGTTTGCAGTAATGCAGCTTTACGGTATTTACTTTAAACATTTTTTATATATATATAAAAAATGCTAAGGAGTTTTGAGTTTCGGTAAATTTTCCCCCCATCAAACCTCTACAGCAGCATTCATCCTACATTAGTAGGGTGGTTCATATTAACCTTTATGCTCGTTTTCACGTTTAGAAAAAACGTCAGTTTTCTCATTGTTCATATGCCACACAAGATAGTTCTAACAATTGGTTGTCAATTGTGAAATGGGCACATGTTGCAAAAAAGACAAATAATAAATCTTAAATGCACATGGAAGTATCTTAATTCACCGCATCAAAGGGTAAATTAAAAATCCTCCGTGAGGAGTAAACTGTTTTTACTACTTTTTGTGGGCATGCCCAAATAAGCATTCTTTTGCCTTTTTTTTTTTTCAGACATCATCAAAAAAGACGACAAAGAGCAATGTTGCAGCGCACAGTGACAGTGAGGAAGAACCGGTGTCAGTTGGGGTGGCTTACAAGTCTGCTCGCACCACGGTAAGCTTAGCATTTGTGAGATTACAGGCTATGCCACTTTCCTCTGTGTTCGGTCAAGGGGGACCTTGCACACATGTTTTCATAGGGTGGCTTGGCCTCTTCTCTTTGCAGGAAATGGAAGGTCCCAAGGATATGGGAGCTACTGCCATTCTTGAGATAGACACGGAGAAGGACAAGGATGCTCAGAGCATATTTGAGCGCTCACAGCAGATCAACAAGGCGAGCTTTCCAAATATTTCTGCAGTAAAGTGAATCTATTTTATGTGGCAATTATTCAAATGGGACATTAATAAGGAGACATTGAATGTTTTCTTTACTCAGCTGTTTGCTTTTCTCAGTATTCCTTTTAAAGTGATTTCTGCATGTTGAGAAACATGCCTTAGAGGCACTCTGACAGGGTAGTCGTGCTCACCAATGTTTTTATTTGTACTGGACTCATGAGAGTCCATCTACCCGGAACACAATTTGCTGTTCGAAATTTGTTTTCTTCCCGCCCGAAAACTGCGGATCGAGAACTAACCGGTTTGAGTAAACGCTCACTCTTCTCTGTAGTCACGTGGCATTTTCTATGGTATGGACACAACCACCAAATGTAATCAAAATCGTAAGTTATCGAAAGGGAGGAAGTGGCCGAGTGGGCTAACGCGTCTCAGCTCGGAGCGTGGAGCGAAAGCTTGTGCTGGGAACCTCCTGGGTTCGATCCCCGCCGCCCCCGTCCGTTTCGATCTGGATGAGTTTTGTACCGGCACGCGTTCGTGTGATCACTACTGCGTGATGCACGTTAAAAATCCCAGGTTAGCGGTTGTACCGCACTGGCTAAATTTCTCATCTACAGCTAAGAGACCGATTACCCGTTGAGGCGCATCTCCATCAAGGCTGTATAAACATAAAGAGCAAGCCAATTTTTTAGTTATCGAAGGCACACTCTCAATTCGCGACTCCAGCAAAACAAACGGCACTCAGCGGGAAAACACTGTACTGGCCGGAACAGGTCCCTTCGCGATTTCTGCTTGTCTCTTCTGGCTTCCGTGTTTCCATGTTGTCGGTGGTTTGCGCGACAGAACAGTTCTACCGGTGACTGTGTCGTAACCATAGTATCGCCTTGTGACCCAGGTTGCTCTGCACGCGACCTACGTAACTGTGTGAGCCAGACATTCTGCGTTTCTCAACGTTCGTCGGCACCGTGGAAGGACAGTGGGCAGTCCTTTAATCTCTTCCTCGAAGAAAGTAAAGCCTCTGGAGGTTCGGTTCTCCCAACACAGACCGAAGGTTCGAAACGTGGAAGATAAAGTGAGGGGGAACCAATTTTGAGACCAATGCTCGCTTGCTGGTGCCCCAGCGTTGTCCGTTCAGCTGGCGCATGGCACGGCACGACCTGGATTCGACCGCCATATTTGCCCGATAGTGGCGTCCCCTATAGGTCGCTGGAGTCGCGAATATTAAAAATGGAAAAAGAAATATGATATCCACTTTTGTGGATTCTAAAAAGCTGCAAACACTTTGATTGAAAAAAAAGTTGCACAGCCACGTGACTTCTGCCAACGCTCTACTCCTCTATATTTCTTCTTCCCCAGTCGAGTTACAGTTTAGGTTTAAAGCAGTTGCGTTTTTTTACTTTAGTAAAAATGTGTGACGCTGTAGCAAAATTTTGATGGGGTAGTCTTCTGACACCAAAATTAAATCGCCTGCTAAAAAATTCAAAAAAAAAATTTGGAGGATTGTCAGTGTTTCTTTCAAGGGACACTGACACCCCCCAAAATTTCTGTTTTACTTTTTGCCAGGTGATTTATTATGGTGTCAGACGACTACCTAATTAATATTTTGCTACAGCATCACATATATTTCTAATAAAGCCAAGAAACGCAGCCGCTCGAAACCGAAACCGAAACCTGACTGGGGATGAAGAAATACAGCAAACGAGGGAGTGTGTGGAAGTCACGTGGCAGTGCAACTTTTTGTTTGATCAACATATTTGCGTCTCTTCAGAAGCCACAAAAAATTGGTATCATATTTCATTCTTATTTTTAATATTGAGTGTGTGCCTGCGATGGCCGACCACTTTGATTATATTTGGTGGTTATGTCTAAACCAGGTGTAGCCAAACTGCGGCTCGCGAGCCGCATGCAGCTCTTTGCTGGTCCAAGTGCAGCTCACGGATCCCTCGCAAGGGGACACGCCCCCCCCCCCCCCCCCCCCCTTTGCCCCTTTCCGCGTTTCCCCAGGAAAAAAAAAAGAAAGGATTTCAGAATAAAGCACACTGCAGCTTGCAGTTTGGCAGCCTTGTGCTCCCATACATACAGTCCGACTCTAAACAAAAGTTAAGTTTGCCCCCCCCCCCCCCCCCCCCCCCCCGTGGCTCTTAGAAGTTGCGTGGTTTTGTTTGCAGCTCTTAGGCCAGGCCAGCCTGGCCACCCCTGATCTAAACCATAAAAAACAGCGCATGACCACGGAGAAGAGAATGAGCGCGACTCAAACCAACCAGTTCTCGATCGGCAGTTTTCGGGCGGAAAGAAAAGCGAATTTCAAGCCACACATTGAGTTCCGGGTAGTTGGACTCTCATAAGTCATGTACAAATAAAACCCTTGGTGAGCATGAACGTGCTGTCAGTGTCTCTTTAATGACCTGATTACATGTTGGTGTCTTTTCCAAGTGGTATAGCTTAGGTACTGGAAACTGTTTTTAACTGGAATATATGCAGGAATTTTAGTGTAGGATTATTTGGAGTCTACCTATGACTACATAAATTTACTCCTTTTCAGCATGAAGAATGTGGCATGAATTGGAATCATGTTATTTTGTGTCTAGATGGAGTTAGTTGGTTGCCTTTCATTACTAGAAAATAATTTGGATGTAATATCAATAGAGATGTTAAAAAAACAAACAAAAGAAAACACATTATCAGATTAAGGCCAAGACGACAAAAAGAACAAAACACAAGACGATGGACACTTAGAAAGAAGTGTCCGTCGTCCCTTTGACTTGAGTACCTTATTCTTTCTGTTGCTTTGTCCAAAAACCAGCATGCTGTGAAGTTTATATTATCAGATTATTATGCTTAATTGATTTCTAAGCTAGTGCATCTTACTCCTTTTCTGGGATTGTTTTTTATGAACATCCTGAGTAGCTTGAATGATGTACGAGGCACATTAAAATGTTTATTGCTTAAGCATCTTAAAACTTATTTGCTTTTCAAATCAGGAACTGAAAGGAAAAGCTGATGACAAGGTATACAGAGGGGTGAATAACTACACGCAATACATCACCAAGAAGGACACGGCACAGGGAAATGCATCAAGTGGAATGGTCAGGTAGGTCTTCACCTTATTTTCCACTTGTTACACTTCTCCTCCATGCAACAATTACCGTCAGAAATTATTAAAAATGTCCTGAAAACGTGGTTCCGCCAACATATGCTACATTCTACATTATTACAGTGATTGGATCACAGGCTATTGGTTACTATATTACCCAGCTGTCAAGAAATGGTGCAAATTGAGTGATGAAAGCGGTAGGGTGTGCTATTGGCAGTTGAACTGTTATATGGCCAGCTAATGACCATGTCACTGCTGACCTGATGAGCCAAATAATCATACGCTTCTTTTTAATTCTAGGAAAGGGCCGATTCGAGCCCCAGAACATATCCGTTCTACTGTTCGGTGGGACTACCAACCCGATATTTGCAAGGACTACAAGGAGACTGGCTACTGTGGTTTTGGGGGTAAGCTTCTAGATGTTGTCCCTGTGCTCTGTTGCTTTGCTTTTAGAAATGACCCATGGGTCAAAGGTAATGAGGCAGTACGCCTTTATTTTATGAGAAAACTTAAAGGGGGGTACGGAAACCAAATTCCAGCGCTCCTTTTTTAGCTTTAATGTGTTGCATGTTGCAGCATAACCTCGAAAATACCAGTCTTTCATTGAAAGACACAAGCAAACCAATTTTAAAGCTAATAAAACAATCTTTAATGTGCACCTGGTGGATGCATGTGGAGCCTATTTGGGAGGTAATCTATACTCGTTTTCACCCCAAGAACCGTAGTAAAAAAAGTATGGCTTCTCGCGCAGCATTACTAATTTCCCTCTTTATGCTGAGAATTGAGATATATGTAGGTGCATTTTAGATTAGATATATGTTAGCTTATCAAGACTTGCAGATTTAAAACGCCAAAAGCATCGCTTCTGCCTCTGACAACCAAATCTTGTAAGAACTACTTCGTGCGGCATATGAACATTGAGCAAAACTTCTTTTTTTCCTTAGGTGAAAACAGGTATAGCAACGTTGGGGAACTTGCTACGTAGTCATGACGTAGCAAGTTCCACCGAAGCAGTGCCGCTTTTTGGAATTTCAACATTTTCCTTCTTAGCTTTCCTCCTCAACTCACAAATCGTGCATTGTACGAAACACTCCAAGAAGACAGAAAGCAGGGACTCCTCCTTTCTCAGACTCTCGTTCGTGCAACCGGACACAGCCATTCTCCCCCTAGAAGATTAGCCCGTCGCTCAAAACTCGGTCAAAAGTTGCTTCCCCACCCCGTTCAGCCCTAAGCTGACAGTGTTGTGGATATGGATGCCGCGAACCACCCGAGGTTCGATTTCGAAAGGTTTAGATATTTTTGAACCGAACTGATATTCGAATTCGAAAAGTTTCAATATTTTCGACCGTAGGGAGATTCGAATTCGAAAAACTCGCAACTTTCAAAAATTATGGAGTTTCGAATTCGAAAAGTTTAAAGCTTTCACGGTTTCTAAAAGTTTGGGTTCAATTATTTCGAATATTGTTTTACTTGAGGTTCGAGAAATTCGAAGATTTCAAACTTTGCTAACTTGAAATTCGAGAGATTCGAATGTCTGGAATTTCCTTAGATCTGAAATTAAAAAAATTCGAACATTTCGAATTTTTATAGACATAAAGTTCGATAAATTCGAAGATTTCGAATTTCTTTATACATAGAATTCGAAAAGTTCAAAGGTTTCGATTTTCTTTTAGCGCTAAAATAAAAAAAAAAAAAAAAAAAAAAAAAAAACAGGTTTTGAATTTTTTTTAAAGTCTAAGTGAGCAAAGTTCGAAGTCCGGTTTTTATGTTCCGCCACAGTTTCAGTTTCAAATAAAGGCCCGTTCACACTCTTGCGACCCGGTAAGACCGAGAGAGACCAGACCGGTTTTTAAGCCTCTTGCAATCTCTTAGGACCAGCTCCGCTGCAGTGCAGCCAATCCTAAGAAGTCGACAAAGGCTTAAAAACCGGTCTGGTCTCTATCGGTCTTACTCGGTCCCAAGAGTGTGAACGGCGCTTAACGTTTTCATGCCTCACTGGTTTTCACGAAATCAGGTTTAAAATGTTTGGGTGTGATATTTAGACTGCGCGAACTTGGTCGGGCAATTAAATGGGACGACGAGTGTCCCGGATGTGCTGGATTATTTGCCAGTGCAGAGTGACGTGTGCAGATCAGTAATTGTGACCGCCAGCCCAGGGGGGGGGGGGGGGAGATAACGTGCGTCATGCAGTAGTGATCACACGAACGCACTGTTTAACGATACTCATCCAGTTCGAAACGGCCAGGGGCCAGGCAGGTGGTTGAGGCTCAGAAAAACCTTGAAGCGATCTGGCGAACTGCCTCCCTGCCCACCCTACACGCTGGTAGTAATCCGCTCGAACATTGCCCGAATGACGCTGGCATATGGTAAGTTTAGTTTGTACATGATGCAAAATCCTGATACTGGGAATGAAATTTGAAAGAAAAAGTGTAAGAAGACAGAAAAAAGGGGACAGGACAACGTCTCAAACTCAACTCAGCTGAAAACTCAGCTCAGGACAGCGTCTCAAACTCAACTCAGCTGAGTTTGAGACGTTTTCCTGTCCCCTTTTCTCTTTCTTCTTACACTATTTCTTTCGAATTTCATTCCCAGTCTCGGCATTTTGCGTCATGATCAACATACACCAGCTCGCCTGCAAGGGATTTTGCATCATGATCAACATACACCAGCTCGCCTGCACCTTGACAATTCTTTAGTTTGTAATTGCTTTGGAGGTTTATTGTCTGAGACGGAAGAAACGCCGAGCAAAAAGCACAGAAGCTGACACAACTTGAGGTCGAGGAGCGTTCTACCATACCAGTAGCGTCGGAAGAGGAAAAACGGAAGAGAGTTGGGGGGGAGGGCTCCAGTCTCTTTCTCTCTCTCTCTATCTCTCCCTCCCCCCCCCCCAGATATTTAGGACTGTTAAAGAAAACAATACGGGGACAGAGGGCATGGTCAAGCTTATTTTAATCTGAAATTATTTATGCGTATGTATAGCTACTGTCGCTCTTCACTGCATAAAAGATTATGTAGATGGTCATTGTTAGAAACGCGTTGTCAGAAGGCCCTACTTGTCACATGCTCGGTTGTTCGGAAGTTCAAAGCTATGTCTTTTCGACCTAAATAACTGTGCCATTGGTAAAAAATAATAAATAAATAAACATAACAATAAATGCAAGAAATAAAAAGCTGGAGAAAGAAAAAAACTATCAAGAATCCACCGGAAGTGTTGTATTCTCGCATATTCACAGGCCCAGAACTACGAAACAAGTTTCTTCTACCAAAATGTGTACAGGCTAAAAGAAACATGTCCCAAAAACGTGAAATGAAAAAATAAAGAAATAATATATATGTATATATATATATATATATATATATATATATATATATATATATATATATATATATATTATTTATATATATATATTTTTTTATGACGTGCCGAGTTTGAACAATATTAGAAATCTTTTTCCCTGAGTTAATTTATTCCTCAACATGAAAATAACAATATATACATTAATTTGTATTCTGCAGATGTTAATGATACATACTGTCTGTGGTGTTAATTTAAATGCAATACCTCAAACAATTTCGATGAAAAAAAGTACCAAGTTTAGGGCATAATTGCCCATAGATACATGTTTGGATATTTCTTCAAAACTCGTCTTAAAGAATAATAATCATATCTTAAGACTACACTTACCTAGGCTATACATAGATCATTCTTAAAAAGTTTAACATCTCTACCATAAATATCTTCGGCTATAGCGTGCTTCAAATATGGCACAAACAATGATCGTCAGAAACCCATCGTCCTTCCTTGCCCCTTCGGGAATCTATTTCTTTAAAACCAAGCATGCCAGACGATTGAAATAAACGGCATTGTCTTTCGCAAGTAATGCCGCGTCACATGTAAAATTGCGAGAAAAAAAATTACGAATGTACCTCACAGCTTGAATCTAAATGAAACCGCCCGCCTGTCTTTCGAAGTTCGACGGACTTCGAACTTTTACCCTAAAAGTTCGAAGTTCGTCGAACTTTTGACTTTTCAGGAATCGGTAGTTCAACAATTTTCAAATTCTTTAGATTAATAAGTTGAAAAGTTATCGAAAATCATCGAATTTCTTAGCGTAGGAAGTTCAAAAGTTCGAAAAGCTTTGAACTTTTTAGTGCAAGAAATTCAAAAGTTCAAAAATCATCAAATTTTTTAGTCTATCAAGTTCGAAAGTTCGACAAGCAACGAATTTTGCAGCGTAATAAGTTCGAAATTTCGAAAAGTGTTGAACTTCGTAGTTTAACAAGTTCGAAAATTCAACTTCCATGGAATTTCTCAAATGAAAAGTTTGAAAATTCGAAATCTTTCTAACCTTTCGAACCACTTGATTCAATCATCGAACTTTCGGTTCGAAAAAAGTTTGCGGCATCCCTAGTTGTGGAAGCTACGTGCTCCTTGGGCCAGCCACATGCTCATCACTCCATGGGTACTTCGAATGGCCCGGTTGTAATGCGCTAACGCTATTGACACCACCACAACGTTGACAATGCCACCAAGGGCAAAGCTCATAACTACGCCAGCCTTGCTACGTCACGAATGCGGGGAATCTTTTCTTTCTGTTTTTGTTTGCGCCGGATATCCCATGACGCATCGCGCTCTCCGTTCGCTTCTCTTCAAGTGCTTGCTCGAGTGCACCATTCGGAATGAAAAATATAGCCAGTCGTTCAAAATGCAAATGTGCAATTATCATTTACGGTTATTAATTATCCATCATGCTTGACTCATTTCTGAACGAAATTTGAATATTTCTAATTTTGTTTCCGTACCCCTTTAAAATGTAAAAATTTAAAACGAAAAAGAAAAACTTGGGGACAGGGTACGTGCCTTGCATCATATTTCATTTCATTTTATCTATTTTTCCGAAGGCAATACATAGAGGGGTAGGCACTGTAACATACACACAAAAGCAAAAAAAAGGGAAAAAAAGAAGCACTATTACAAAATTAGTATGACATCTTTTACAAATTAGTACATGCAATTCTAAAATCAGCCGTGTTTGTAATTGAAACTATGACTCCGAGAAAACAATTCCAATCAATTTAGGCTTGGGATAAGAAGGAGGCATTAAAGTATGAGATGTGCTGCAGTGGGGAATTCTAACTTTTAGTTGATGTTTGGTCCGTGATGATATGTGAGGTGGTTCTGAAAACAGTGCTTGGTGAAGTGTTGGGTTGGGTTGACTATCACTCTTTTCTCTGCACTTTTTCTAAAACTCATTGCATCCAAAGCACAATCAAGCATGTACTATTGTAGATTAGGGGAGGCCCTGTCTTCATCATTTTTTTGGTAAGCACACAAAGTGAAAATCTGAAATGAGGAAGTGGCATGCATTATATCTTTCTGCTCGGTTTTTGTTATTTGCTCGGCATGTTTGCTTACCTGTCTGACCGCTCATTCACACTGGAAGCGGATCCGCGTTTGCAAAGCGGTTGCGAACGCGGTTGTATAAAGATCCAGTACAATTGCACGCACGTATGATGTCATCGAGTGTGCGTGCAATTGTACTGGATCTTTATACAACTGCGTTCGCAACCGCTTTGCGAACGCGGATCCGCTTCCAGTGTGAATGAGCGGTGAAAGATGCATGAGGCTCTATTGTTCTACACTGTTCGTATAGATACATCTGTAGCTGCAGTACACTCACTGGGGATTATTTGTACTACTATACACTTATTTAGTTCCAGTGCTTATGTATTTTATTTTGATTAGAAACATTTCTAGAAAAGGGGCTTTTAAAGTGAACAACTATCGTAATAACCCGAGAAATAGCCCACCTAAAATCGAAAGCAAATCGGGTGAAGATAAGGAGTAAACTAACTTTCGGTGTGCGATCCAGAAAAGTTGAAAAAATGCTAGCTTTGGATTTTGTGTAGATGGTTGAGCGTGTTGGTTTCTAATTTTTTGACATTGAAGACAAACAGACGAGACAGGCTTTCGACTTTTAACAAAACGTTTACTGGCTCGATTTCACCTCCTGAAGCTCGGTGGGGGCGTCCGGGAGGTTGAGAGGGAGGGTGGTGGGTGAGGGAAGTGTGAGCCATGTGGCCCTGCTCGCAGCTCCCAGCAAAACTTGTGACTGCAGGGAGGGGCGATGACCCAAAGATGACCGTCCTTCCCAGTCAGCAATATTCGCTGATCTCCCGTCTAGGCTAAGTAGTGGCATTTTTGCCGAGGTCGCCGCTGGCCAGGGCCTTGTAATTACTAGAGGCGGGCCATCTTTCGGTGTTTCTTAAAAGAAATACCAAATCGTGGCCAAAAATAGGGAGCGGGTTATCTTTCCGGGGTGGGGGCATCTCCCAGGATTGTACGGCATATATTTTTTGGGAATGATGTGAGTGGCTGTGGCAGGTGTCCCAGTTGCCAATTCGTAACCCATCATCAAAATTGGTCAGGGCAGCTCTTAGATTTAGAGCGAGAGAAAACCTGCTTCCTGCCTGTTGGTGTGGAATTTGGGCTGTCAGAGGTACAACAATACCAAAAGTCTGGGTCAGTGGCATTGGCAGAGGGGGGGTTTCGGGGTTAAACCTGCCAAACTGCCCTCATGGACATCCCCCTCCCAAAAACAAAAAAATTCCTGGCTACGTTATTGTTGAATAAAGACACAAAAATTTCACTTCCCCGATATGACTGTACTGGCTGCAGGGTTTTTTCCTGTTTCACAACTTCTAAGGATTTGTGGTCTACGCCTCGTGATTGAATAGAACGCTTCTTTTACTATCACCAAGGGTTGGGACAATAAGAGTATCTGTAGTTGAGAAGAAAAGAGAGCGTCCCATGATTGCTTCTCTTCTTCATAAACGAAGTGTGGAAATTCAAGCTGATACCCGTTCCATGCGTTACGAATGTGAAGTGTTTAGTATTCTGAAAAGCAAAATTTATTTCATGGTCCATTTGAAACAAATGGAGAAAGGCTGTTGTTGCGTACTTTTTTAGTAGCATCTTCTCACCATGCGCCATAATCTTGGTGGTACTTGGAGGTAGTAACAGAGTTACAGCAAACTTAAACAACATTTTTTTGCCTGAGGAGAAGGACCCATTCACACAGTACCATTTGACGGTGCTTGACCATGTTATGAAGATTTTTGTGGAATTACGGCTGAAAGTCACCGGGACATCCGTGCTTCGTACGAATCGTGGAAATGAGTAGCTTGGTCTGTGGCATTCTAAACCCTAATCCACCAGCGGCTTGTGGTCACATCGGAATGTACCATAGTCAAATACTGCCGTGCTAATGGGCTGTAACACTGCCTTTGTGCGCAAGAGCAAAAGTCTTCAGCAGTGTTGGTAGCTGTCGACAACCAACGGATTGTGCGTTAATGCAGACAGCTGCAAGTTCATGCACGACCGGTCAGACTACAAACATGGCTGGCAGTTGGAGATGGAAATGGAGCGAAACCAGTACGGGGAAGAGGACACAAGTCGTTACGAAATCAGCTCCGACGATGAAGACTTGCCCTTCAAGTGCCTGCTATGCCGCAAGTCCTTCGTCGACCCTGTCGTCACCAAGTAAGACCCCTTGGGCTTTGCACCAAACCACGCTTCTGACCGTACGAGTAGCGTTGACAGGAACATGTATTTCAGATGCAGAATTTGCAGACCAAGTCTGCATACATACAGTTTGAGCCAAATCTTTTTGGCAGTCTTTGACAGTGCTTTAATACCATTTATGTTTCCCTTAGCTTTGTTTTTGAAACCTACTGAATTAGCAATATTGACATTATAGACAACTTCAGGACCAACTGTGCGCATCGTATGAGCCAAACATAGGTCTGCTTGCTGCATGGTTAAAATTGCACACAAATAGAAAGAAACAGTGAAGAGAGAAGAGGCAAGCGCAAACTCACAACTCAATACATCGAGTTGTGAGTTTGTGCTTGTCTCTTCTTTTCCCTCTTCGCTGTTCCTTTCTATTTGTGTGCAATTTTAACCATGTTCAATCATTACCAACTCACCCAACTAACCACCTTACTACTGCTTGGTGCACCTATCAGGAGATGACACCAGAATTAATTAGTGTCGCTAACTCTGTCGTCTGCGAACGCACCCAATGTAAAATTTAAAAAGCATTTTGCTCCAATTTTTTTTACAGGAAGAGAACTGCTCCTTGAAATTCCACACGATAAAACAGACCTGCCCAGGACAGATTCGGTGGAAGTTTGAGCTTTCTACGTGCAAGGGCCAATCTTTCCAGCCCGTTTTACAGTCTCTTGGGACACTCTACAGTCTACGCTCATTATAACAGACCTGGTTACAACAGACATTTGGATATAACATACCGATTTGTGAAGTTTGGTTGGTTTCCCTCTATGCACCATTGACTCAACTTCATATCTGCATACAACATACTCCTCTTACAACAGACCGAAATCTTGGTAAAAATCAAGGTCTGTTATAACGAGCTTAGACTGTATATACATGCATCAATGGCTGGCTCAGATTGACTGAAATAATGCTTAAACTGGGAAAACGTCTTAGTCTGGGGTAGGAACAGTTGAGGGAATTTGGAAGCAAGGGAATCCCTAATGCCCGTGTCCCACTAGAGTGACAGACAGAGACAAAAGACAGCGACAAGCCTCAAACCCATGCGGCATGCTCGCGATGGTACCATTTGGCAGGCGTTTAGTCGTTCGATGCTCGTGAAGTAAGCACGAGCGATTGCAAGCCTGCCTAAGATACCCTCGCGTGCATGATGCTCGTGTTTGAGCATAGCCTCCTTTATTCTACGAAGCCTCACAAATTGCGAAAGACTCTGGTTTGAGGCTTGTCGTTGTCTTTTGTTTCTGTATGTCGCTCTAGTGGGACACGGGCATAAGGGTGCTCTGGGGAACCCCTTGCATCCTAGGGGCCCATATTGGAAACCCGTGCTGTACAACTTCGGGCATTAAAGGGGCACTCAAGTGGATTCTGAGATTGTCTATTTATGGTGATAACTCAATCTATGGCCTTTAAGAATCCTAAAAAAGCACACAGAATTACACTCATTGGTGGGCGATTTCATTATTAAAAATCTAATAAAAGGTTGTGACACACCCCACTTTCTGCGCCTTCGACAAGACGCCAGGGGGACAGCGTTTTCAAACAATAATTGCTGTACAGTTGAACCTCGATTTAACTAAATCCGATTTTACGAATTTCCCCATTTAATAAACAAATTCGGATTCCCCGCGTAGCCTATGCGCGAGGTTTCCCTTCCTCGATTTTACGAAGTTCTTGATTTAACGAAATAATTAGTGGGTCCTGGTGACTTCGTTAAATTGAGGTTCAACTGTATTACATCTCCTACACCCAAAGATAGAAGTTTTTGTCAAAATATAATGCCTAAAAACAGCAATAATAGTCACTTCAAAATCTTCATGCAATTAACTATTTTCATTGGTCAAATTTCATGGAGGTAGTGGGGACCCAAGGATGCTCCCCCACCCCCCAGGAGAAAATAGTGCCTCTTTATTTGCAGTGCTGCGAGTTCATTAGGACGTCTTGCCGTCTAGAACTGGTCATTTTTATGGACTAAAGTGCAACAAACAATATGCCATCAAAAACAAGCCTATACTAAAAGCACTTGAGTGCCCATTTAACGATTTGGAGCATATTAGTTCACTTTTGTTTTTTGCTGCAGGTGCAAGCACTATTTTTGTGAAAAGTGTGCCCTGAAGCATTACAAGAAAACAACACGATGCTACGTGTGCAATCAACAGACCATGGGAGTCTTCAATCCAGCTAAAGGTGCGTCATACGAATGGCAGCGGCACATAGCAATCCCCAGTGGGTTTCGGACAGCAGGAGTGTTTATCTCTAGATCTATTACGGTTGATAGGTTTTCACATCTCGTCTCAAATCAGCCAAAACGTCTCAACTTTATATCTGTTGTGCAGGTCCCCTATATACCCTCCATAGATTAGTCAAAGATGATAATTTACATCAAAATAACCTCAATACTTCATTGTTTTCATAATTTTGTAATTTACATAGTACATATGTGTAAATAGATGTCAACCTTCCAAGTACTTATGCCAAGGCATATCTTGTATCAGTGTTAGTTTTGTTCCTCTGGCATTTGGTGGTCAAGTTTTAACATTGCAGTGATGGAAGCGGCATTTGACCTTTTGTAGCAGGTTCTGTAGCATGCTAGATATTGGTTTGGAGCAGTCACCTATCATCTTGGAGCAGATGCTAACATCTCTTGGTGCATCACTTGAAAATGAAAAAGTGATAGCATTTCTAAATGAGTTCACCTTTGGTAATGACCGAGGGTTCCTGTTTGATACTGGAGCATATTACTTGCCACCTTTTGTAATAAGAAGAGACACGGTGCCGAAGGAACACAGAGCATTCTTTTTAGAAATAAGGCTCTAGTCAAAGAAGGTTTTATTTACAATGGGTACTAAATCCTGTGCTGTCCGAAAGCATATTATACTCCTGAAAATTGTACGCGGCAATTAAACTAAGATAAGTTTCACTCACAGTGATATACTTTTGTTTATTTGTAATAGTAAATATTTTATTAAAAGTATCTAAGTTGAAAACATAAAGATCGACTGCACCAGACCCCAATGCATCAAAAGGAAATAAAAAAAACAGTAAATATTTTTCGGCTTATTGTTTCCTGTCGATACTTACTCTTATATTAACATGCTCCTACACAAAATTAAAACCTTATTTTATTGTTTCTTGACCGTTGCGAGTTGCAGGTTTTTTGCCCTCTGTAGCTGTCTTCACTAAAAAAAAAAAAAAAAAAAGCTTTTTACAACAATTTTTTTGCATTATACAGTATGATTTGCAACTAATTAATATAGTTTATTTTTCAGCTTTTGGCCAGCAATTTTCGCTCGCAATATTTTGCCATTAAGGGGAAAGGCACAACGGCGCATGTGCGTCAGTTTCCTACAAGAACGACGGTTGCTTCCCGCAGTGCTTGGCAAGAAAATGACATACCATCGAGATTCACACATTTATCAGTGACCTCCGCGGTTCCCCGCTGCCCGTTGTTCGGAAGCGCCATAATTTGCGCAGTGAATGTTTCGACAATGTGAAATGCGGGACATTTGGAAGATTTTGAAATTTTTGCGGGACGCGGGACACGAGCCTTCAATGCGGGACAGTCCCGCGAGTCGCGGGACGGGTGGTCACCCTAGGCATGCAGCAGACATGACAAGTGATCTCATCAAAAGTACAAGACCCTGGTTCTGTCTTATCTCAGTAGCTGCCATCCTGCAGGTTGGCAATATTTTCTTGCAACTTTTAGATCTTTAGATTGCAAACATTGTGTGGAAATTTAGATGATATTGGCGATCAATTTACTAGTGCAGTGGTTCTCAAATGGAGGTCTGCAAAGCCCTGCCTCATCAGTGAAGCCCACCAATAAAAATTGTCTTTTCTTAGAAAGAGAAGGAACATTTCAGATTTTCGGGCGAGTTTTCTCTGTATGGCAATGAGAGAAGTCTACTTTCACAAGCCCTTAGTTATATCCATTAATTAAATCATTGTCATAATTAACCTATACCTTTCCCTTCCCCTCACCACAAATGGGGTCCCCCATCGCCTCCACCGATCCACAAGGGTTCCGCAAAACATGAATGGTTGAGAACCACTGTGCTAGCGTATCAGCCAACCAGCGCATTTAACAAGCAATCTCAATACTTCATTTCACCTTAAAGCACAGCCGCCTCTACGAGCCATTGGGACCAACCAGCGTCAAAACGTGACCATGGGATTCGTCCACCTTCCTGTGCGTGGTCTTTCATAGACTAAACGAATCAAGTGCAGGAAATGTCACACGACTTGTGCTCTTAGCATGCATTTGTGGTTGTGCGTTGGAGCCTTCGAATGTACTCTGACCTAAGATGAAACAAACTGTATGGCGAGTAGACACGCTGTGAAGTACATAATTGTACCATTTTCCTTTCCTCCTACTTCTCTAAATAGTAGGGACAACCAATAATTTTTTTTTTTGCTTTGCCCATTTTGTTGCAGATGTGGCGCAATTCTTAACAAAGAAATACCGCTTTGGTGTAAGGTGCAGCAGATTTTCGTTCATGGTGCCATTTGGTGCAAATGGCGTGGCACTTCCATCACCGACAATCAGCTTTTGTGTCTGGTGCAAGTGTACTGTGCACCGCGCAAGAGACCAATACCGTTGTTTATGGGCACACGCAAAATAAAGCATCAGTATTTGAGTAGCCACAACTCTGACCCACCAGCATCTCGAAATTACTTGAGGCCCAATCTCTCATGACGTCGACAGAGACGGTGCAGCCGAAGAACGCACCTGGTCGTCTCAAACTTGCTAGCGACGACAGCTCTACGCAAAACCCGCTTTACCACATTTTCAGTTGCTCACTGGCTCCATCGTGGCTCTTCCAGAATTGATTCAGAAGCTGAAGAAGGAGAGGGCAGAGGCCGCTGCAGAGAGCGAGGAGGAGAGAGAGCAGCAAGGAGAATCTCCAGGAGACAAGGATGAAGACAACTGACAAGTTGGTCAGTTTCTATTGCGGTGTTCCGATCGACATCATTAAAACAATACCCCATACTGCATTTAATTCCAGCACCACCTTTTTTTCTTAAGTGTTACGGAAGCATGGTTTTGTGACCTGCTATTGGCCATTGTTTTTAATTTTGCCCTAATAGTGCAATAATTTTGGAAAGTTTTTTTTTTTTTTTTAATGCACTGCAACTTTCATTATTTCATTTAGGGATTGCCCATTGCCAAGCTTTAAAGGTTGGCAAACGCACAACACAGAGTACTGCCCATAAACTTTGATGCGATTAAGCCTCTATTCTAATTGTCTAGCAGTGTTAAGTTTCCAGGGTACTTCACAGAAGATTCAATGTGGTAGTTGTTACTCGTTAATGAAAGAAAATTTCTCAAGTTTAGAAAATGACATCTTCATGAATGCCTAGGCCCTTGACATCTGCTTACCAACCTTTCTCCTTTTTCCAGGAAAGAGATGACCAGACAACTGTACACTTGCAAATAAAGAAGTTAACCAACAACACAAACTTTGCTGTTTCCAAATTCACAACAAGAGCTTGAGAAGTGCATTCAGTATATTGTGAAAGGTTCTTTATAAACTTTCCAGAACCTGAAATAAAGTAAAGAACACGGCTAAACGTTTTTGGTTCAACCTTGTTTTTTTTTGTTTTTTTTTAATGATGTGGGTCTCCTACACAGTGCTTGCACAATGAGGGGGCTTGACTCCAATGTCTTCTCTTGGAGAAGGTTGAATGCCTTAGTCACTAAACAAAATGTGAAACTAGTTCGCATGTTTTATTGCAAGAGCTGGATCTCATGCAGGCAGTTTCCTTCCTGCAGATCACTTAGCTGCATTGTCAAAACTCCTATACTTGTTATATTTTTATCAACTGTACATAATCTTTGTAATAAGAAATAATGCAGCAGCACATATTACTTCAAAACAACACCAGCGAATCACGAAGTAATTGCGAACATTCTTCTGGTTTTGATGCTTGATACTTTCATAAATACTGTTGTTTTGTCCTGTCTTGTACATTAAGTTGTTTCCTCGGACACACTTTGTGACTGTGACATGCTCCCTACAAACACTTGTATTGGCAGCTTGGGGCCATTCCTAACAGTTCTACGAGATTTGCTTCATATAAGAGCTTCCTGAAATGTTTACTGAAAACATGAATAAAGAGAAAACAGGTGGTGCTTTTGCGACATTTACAGACAATAATATACATCTGTTTCACAGGCCCCAATTCCTGCTAAATACATACAACAATCACACCAGCGGGGCATGGGTTGGCAGGGGCAGTTCTTGGAATGCAGTTTTGACTGAGCTGGGGCATCGCCAAGTTGCAGCTGGAGGTTGTCGGTCTTATTTGTAGTCTTCGGTAGAAAAGAGACCCTGAAAATGCAAGCAAGTGGTATGCAGGTTGAGGACAAAGGCATAACAAAGCAGAGTTTGACTCCTTTTAGAAAAGGAGGGGGATTGGTGGCTGAGTGGGCTAGCACACACCAGCTTTGAGCACGTGAAGCAAAAGCTTGCACTGCAGAACCCAGGGATCTTGGTTCAATCCCTACCCCTGCCAATTTCGATCTGGATGAGCATCGTACCAGCGTGCGGTCGTGTATCACCACTGCGTGATGCACGTTAAAGACCCTAGGCTAGTGGTTGTACTGCACTGGCTCATCTACAGCTGAGAGACAAGTCGCCCATTGAGGCAGACTAAGTTCTAGGCTATATAAACATACACACACCCAATTTTTTTTCAGAAGTGGAGCAAAGTCATATCAACACCGGTGAAATATGCAAAGCAAGATCAGTGGGCATCACTTCAATGAATCAAAGAAAGCAAACAAAACCATTTGCACATGTACTGTCAGCAGCAACATAAGGAGGACCAGTTTACTCCTAACCAAAAGGGGTAAAATGGCACTTGGGGTTCCTCTGGCTTGCTAAGTTATGAAACTGACTGCCACATAGGAACAATAGAAAATGTGACAGTCCATTCCAAACCTTTTTTTAGCAACCTGACATACTCTGGGCTCCCCTCATGGCTGTTGGGCCATTCCAGCCTGAACACCGCTGGTCCAAATATTGTCACACCCTGTATGCCGTGCCGTGTTCTTTTGCAAGCAATAGAAGCCACTATCATGTTTAAACCCCATGCCATGTTAGTTAAAGTGATAACAAGAACTGCATGTGGTGTTTTACCTACCTTCGCTCGCCGCAGGATAGAATCCTTGTTAGGATCGTAAGGCTGGTCCTTTGATGGAATCTCAAGCACTGCAGGGATTGACACTGTGTGGCTATCGATGACGTGCCTTATCATTTCTGCTATCTGGACACAATGAAATAAAAATCACTTTGTGCACTACTCAGTGTTTCGAATCGGCCGTAACTATTTCGACATCCACCATCAAAGAATCTTGAGGCATATGTTTACACCCATGCTGCCCAAAGATGTGGAGATAGCTGGCTCATTATTCTGACGTTCCCCTTCAAGATAGTCAATGCTTTTTCCAATATTTTACGGTCTGTATACAGGTGCGGCACCACGGGCCTTCTGGCATCACGTGCATAACTTCCCCTGTGGTGCTGAATTCTACTTTGTTCTGTATTTAAAAATAATGAAGCAGCTATTGCAAGACTTTTTGGAAGAGCTGTCGTATCACAGACATGAAAGCATTAAGGCAATGCTCCATAGTGTGAGTTTGGTGGTTCATTCAATAAACAGACTCGAGCTCTGCTGGAGTATGACACAAAATGTCCTACTCCAGCAGAGCTCCAGTCTGTTTTCTGAACCCTTTATTGGAGCAAGAGTTGGTTTTTTTGTGCTCTATGGCTGTTGAAGGTTGCAAATATTCAGGGGGCAGTTAGGACTGCTGCGATTTCTAGTTGAAGAAAGCCTTGTACAGGGGGGATCGGTGGCCGACTGGGCTAGTGCACACCAGCTTGGAGCACGTGGAGCGAAAGCTCGCGCTGCAGAACCCAGGAATGCTGGATTCAATCCCCACCCCTGCCCGTTTCGATCTGGATGAGCATCGTACTCGCATGCAGTCATGTACCACTACTGGACATTCATATTAAAAATAGTGCAGAAAAGACGGGACAAAAAGCGAAGAAGCACACAGGACAAGTGCTAACTGGCAACTAAAATTTATTGAATGCTTCCAACTTTGCTATCGCTGTGCACGCGCTTAGTCTCGTCTCAACAAAAACATGGCGTACCGCCAAATCAGCAGATACAGCCCGCCCACCGCCTGTTCAAAAAGCCAGCATATAAATTTTAGTTGCCAGTTAGCGCCTGCCCTGTGTGCTTCTACGTCTTTTTGTCGCGTCTTTTTTGCGCTACTTTTAATATGAATGTCCAGTCAGGGGCGGATTTAGAGGGGGGGGGGGGGGGGGGGGGGGGTCCGGATGCCCTGACCCCCCTCTTGATTTCTGCATGTGTAAAATTTAGGGTGTGAAACAAGGAAGAGGGAGAGGGGGTTCCTAAACATATAGTACGCTGACCAACACCTGACCCCCCCCTCAGAAAATTCCTGCATCCGCCCCTGTGTTTAGTACCAACTTGACCAGCAGACCAAGCTTTTACCACTACTGCATGGCGCACGTTAAAGACTCTAGGCTCGCGGTTGTACTGCACTGGTTAGATCGCTCATCTACAGCTAAGAGACAAGTCGCCCCGTTAAGGCAGAATACGTTCAGGCTGTATAAACATACCCACAACCCAAAAAACCTAGTACAGCAAGTAAAAATGACTGGATTGGGAAGCCAAAGCATTAATTTACACCTAGGAAAACATCTCTATGTGTATTTAACATCAGGAATTGGTGTGCGCTTTGCAATGGTGGAGTGCCAACAGTGGATATCGACAAGTCTCACTCTTATGCTGAAAACGGACTGACCCCGGAGCCGAGAGGTCAATCTAAGAATGTTACTTTTCGAATACAGCACAGCAGACACTAGACAGATTTATTAGTGTTGGTCGAAGCAGTTTTCTTTTGTGTTCAAAATGAGCTCCAAATCTTTCGAGAGTGAGTGGCCATTTAAAAGACATGCACTTTATCGCTGACTCCAGCTAACTACCATAGGGGGCGCACTGGTCGGGCAATATCTCAGACGAAAGGAGGTCAGTTTCATTGTTCAGCACACAAAACACCCAAATATTTTGTTTTGCAGCGTGAAATCAATGTTACACATGAAAGCAAGGTGCTTTTTGGTTGGTAAAAATCTTCTCCACCAAAAACAATGTTTTCTCCTTTTGCCAGCTTGATTTGCACGTTTGGCAAAAGCTACACCAGTTATTTTGTTTTTGGAGGACCACCTACACTTTGGGAGGTGGAAGATGCTTGAAATCCCCAAGCCTCTTTGAAGGGTGACAATCTATCGTAAAAGAACTAAGTATCGCCCCCTGAAAGGCCATCAAGGTGCGGATAAGGGTTTGCATTTGCTTTGTCCGATGTGCTTCGAACGTCATCCTCGGATTCACGTTTAAAAACAATGAATGACCTCAGTAGGTTGGTAAACTTTTGTAGTCAAGTGAAAAGAATTTTAGGGTACAAGCTACTTCTGACTGACTTTTCTGAGAAGGAGGATTGGGGTATTGCAGCGTGTTGCGATCGGGCCACCGTGCTCTGGTTGCAACGGATTCGCAGGATTACAAGTCAACACTTTTTAGTGTTAGCAAATGAAACCGTGACTGCACCAGTTATGTTCAGAAGTTTTGGGAGAGGGAAGGCAAAATACGATCCGACTACATTTCAGCAAGGAATGTTGGCAAAGGCGTGGAATAACGTTCAGATCGACGTGCATTCTGAGTTGTGGCTTTTCATATTTAAGATATATCATGGATAGGGAACCTACACAGGTATTTGTGCAAATTTAAACTGATGGTGAATGAAACTTGAATACTGTTTGCATGATATAGACGTTTTTCCCCAACTCGTTAACGACACCAAACTTTGATGAGCGGTAGGCGACTTGCAAAAATAAGCTCTTAACATAAATCAGTACCTGGCAGGTGCAAAAAAAGGTTTTTGTGCCAATCAACGTGCCACAGTAATGAAATATTATGTGTTATGACATTCAAATTGGCTGATGTTTAAACGCCAGAAGATTCTTATATTCTTCTTAATAAAAAAAAAAAAACAAGCACAAAAAACAAAAAAACAGGTGGTTTCTATGCATTAATTTATGTTTGCTTCTTTTGCTGAGGTAACTTGTGCGGCAACCCTTGTTTCATAAATCACTGCAGTCCGTGGGCTAGAGGTCAGCACAAGAACGGACCAGCCCATGGGCCGGCCCGTCCTGCGTGCTGGGCTTCACGGCTACATTCATGAAGGGCTACGTTCAAAGCAAGCCAAACCAATTTACATTTTTTTTTTTTAACTTGCAGGAAGAGTTTATGGTGGGGGAGATTCAAATGCTGAAAGCATTTGTTTTTGTGTTTGTACTGAATGCTCTTTCAAAGCAGTGGCACAAGCGCGGCATTAATATTCGTCGCCGGCGGCACCGCCCAGCGTGCAGTTGCTTCTCCCCATTAACACGCACACATTCGTGCCTACATAATGTGCACCCCTGCAGGCATAAACAATCTGTAGGCGGGGGCGGATTTAGAGGGGGGGTCCGGATGTCCTGACCCCCCTCTTGATTTCTGCATGTGTAAAATTTAGGGCGTGAAACGAGGGAGAGGGGGAGGGGGTTCCTAAACAAATGGTACGTTGACCAACACCTGACCCCCCCCCCCCCCCCCCCCCCCAGGAAATTCCTGCATCCGCCCCCGTCTGTAGGTATGAGTAAGTGCAACCTCAATATGAGTGAAGAGGTTTCCCTTAAGGGTGCTTTCCCTAAGCAATTTATCACAGACCATCGCAAGAGCAAGCGGTATGTTTTATATAATTTTTAGAGCACAGCTCTTAGGTGCCCATTTCAGGGCTGAGCGGCGTCGGCGTAACCTCGCGCGTTGCATTATGGGACAACAGTTTCCCTGCTAAATTTAACGGGGGAAGTGAATTGGTGTTGAGGTCACATGACGTCAATTTTCCTGCTAAATTTAGTGGGAAAACTTAACTCGCTAAATTTAGCTGAGAAATTTTTAATCTCTGCCTTTGGCGTCGGGCGAGATTCTTGAGGTCTTCGCGCTTCGAAGATGCATATGAGTCAGGCTTTGCTAGTGCCCCAACTTTTTGGTCAGGAATTAGGACTGAGCGAGTACTTATTTCATTCACTTCAACCTTTCGTATGACACATATTTCAAACGTAATATGGAAGCTTAATGTGCCGTCCACGATACACATATAATAAATATCTTTAAGTAAGCAAAGGATTCATCTCTTCTTCCGAAAGGTGTGGTGTGGTCTGGCACCATTCCGAATCAGTCCGAACTGTCTGAACCGCTACAAGATTCGGTCAATTATCCCAACCTTTCCGAATCTCCAGATTCGAATCAGAATCTCGGTTCAGGAAAAAGTTTGTCCCATCACTAATTCTTAGCAAAAATGTCACTTTGAGCAAGATGCAACAGACTTTCGTTCATGGTGCAATTTGGCACAGCACTTCCATTGCACTGGATACCAAACTTAGAGCGTTTTTATGAGCAATCTACAGCACAGACCTAATGGACTCAATAACTCCCCCAGATGCTTTGATGGTGGTCAACAGAATAGATACTGCCTTTCCAGTACATGCTTGGAATGAATTGACATAAACATACATTCTGGTTGATGAGAATAATGTCCACATCGCCTCTTTTGACGAAGTTCTTGAAGCACTCCTCGATTTCCGACACGCTCGTGTCTGAAAGTATAGAGACGGGGGTCCATTCGATTCTGTAAGTTAACGGAGTGCTTTTATGGCATTACACGTTGTATACTTACTTTTGTCCACCACCTTGAAATTTGGCTGTCTCTGCTTGTTAATTTCTCCTATGCCTCCAAGAAGAAAGCCAACGCAGGTGTCCTGAAAGACAGTGTTGCAACTTATGAAGGAAAGGTTCTGAAGGTGGCGGCTTTGGAGGCACGGTAAAAAATTCCCTCTCTCTCCCCGTGAACCTAGGGAAGGCGGAGATTTGGACGTAACTTGGGTTACGTCGGACGTAATCGCTAGACACTTCGAAATATTAATCCCCTCAGACGAACGGCTGCCGAAATATTAACGCACTTCAGCGGCTTGCGTGATAATAGACTGAAAAACGGTACACGAGCTCAGGGGCGCCGCAGCTGTCCCGAGCTAAAATTAATTTATCATATCATATCGATGACAGTGGAAAATGAATTGCTCACCTCATCGCCTATGATAGCAATAAGTTTTCCCCTTGCGGCCATCATTTTGGCAACTTCTAAGTGCAGAAAAGCAGGAGAAAGGCGGACACCGAAAGAACGCAGCGAGGAACCACGCGTCCACCACCCTGGGAACACACAAATCGAAGGCTTCTTTAAACACGGTGACACAGTCACGAGATGCAGCGAATGTACACCCGTACGCTCAGCTGAAAGTCAGATCAGTCTGATAGTCTGACTCTGATCAGTGCTGGTCTGATCCGTCTGATCACGGTTGCATGTTCCTGATGTTGCAGTTGAAACAAAGCGTAACGTTGACGTCAGCAACGACCGCAACGACCCACTCTAAAAACTCTATTTAAGGTTTACAGCTTGTTGCACTGCTTTGAAACGTTTGAAACCAGTGTTTGATATAACGACATCAAGCAATATTCGTTTATTAGGTTTATTAAAAGTTACCCATACTACCCATACTAGCCAATAGCTTTTTTATCGTTAAAAAGCAGTATGCTTTATTTAAAAGAAATTATTTGCACAAATATGAATGGTTATTATTGTTATTTTATAAAGAGATATAACTTGCAAACTATTGTCATGATTGTTACATGGCTCTATGTCCGGCTATGTACAGCTCCCGATTTACTTTGTCTGGGTACAATGATATTTGCTATTTCGGTTTTCGGTGTATTCTTGCGCGCCAACAAAAAGAGATCCACCTTTAATTTTATGCCCCTACCGTCGCTCTTGAGAGAGCTAAATCTTTAATAAATTGGATTTATAACGTAACCCATGAATTATTTGTTATGATATGCTGATTAAGCAAATAATTCACCAGTAGCATAACGAACTATTTCCTTGCTGGTGCAAAGTCGTCCGTGCAGGAGCGTTAACCAACATGGCGTAGTTCTGGTACAGCCCCCTGTAGTTAAGTGTTTAGGAGAAATAATGACCCGCTCCAATTATTTTTAACGTCATCGGTATCACACTTTATTGTAAACTCTCTACGGACCAAATGTTGAGCGTTTGTACAGTCGCAACAGCCGTATCAGGTAAGACCGCCCGTGCCAATGCTGTATGCGCACATTGTGTGCCTGGCTTCCGTCAGTCGCTGTCCGGGCCGCTCGGCCGCTCGGCATCATGGCCGAAACTCCCCGGCTATGCTATATAAAACGATTGTAAACACCGCACATTTAACGCGCGGTCAAACCGATTGTTCGCGCAATGTAAATTTGTGGGGAAACCGCTTCGAATGAAGCCGGAATGCGGTGCCTCCAGAATGCCGTACGGTCTCGGCCGTGCGGACAGAGCTCAATGGAGATGCTAGCGCACTTGAATCGCCTGCCCCGATAGTCGGTGCGCCGCAGCGCTTGGCGTCATTAGCTGAAGCTCAGCTGATGTCGTCGTCAAGAAACTCGTGCGGTTGGGAATTTTCAACTTGGTTTATACGCTGTTTAGATTCAACGATATTTTATGTCTTCCCTTTCCCTCCACGGGTAGACTGCTTCACGGTCACCGAGCGCATCTGCAGCGATGCACGCTTGCTTGATGAGGCTGGCTTTGTAGTCAACAGCGTCTTGTTTGAAACGAAGGGAATTTACCCAATCTGTACGTGTGGAACACCGCGCTATGTTACTTTTCCAACTGTACCTAAAAAAAAGCTGATGTCTTTTTTGTTTGTTTTTTTGGTCCAATGCCCGTGCTTGCGTACACGGCTTTAGAGTTTATATAGCAAGGATAATCCGAGATTCGTTTTTGGTGCCACTGTTCTGTTTTAAAAGTAGGTGCTTGCGTGAACTTATCACTAATTTTACAGAATCGCCTTCGAAGAGGGTCTGGTTGTTATATTGTCCTTCTACGCGTTTCGCCCTTGCTGTCCGTTTTTCGTCCGAAAAAAATAAAAATAATATATATATATATATTTTTTTTAAATTAAAATGAGCTATTGTACAACAATATATCGAGCGTTTTTAACAACTTAAAATTCGAAAAAAAATGGGCTTTTTTTATGACCAGATATTTCAGTCGGGAGTTTTCTAAATATTTGGGCAATTAGGGTGACTTCATTTAGTGCATGCTGCACAAGAGGAGCACAGGTTAACTGAAAAATCTTACCGGAACTAGCCCTTTTCCAAATACCAGGCACTCAGATATGTTTATAGATGGCGTATAGCTTCCGTTTTTTTCCAATATTAGCATTCAAAACTAAGACAAGGCTTGAACCACACATAATTCCAATCATGTTTCTTCTGTCATTTGAACCAACCCCTTTGGCATTTTTTTAATTAGCACCACACAAATAAAAAAACAAAAAATTCTTGATGGACCATGAATCACAATCTTATAATGTCTCTAAACTTCTGCTAGGTGACTTTGAGTGGTGATCAGGTTTTTAATCTTGCTTTTATGTTATTTTGTGGAAAGAATGGAACAGGTAACTTAAGCTTTATTACCCCGTTTCACCTTAAAGCCTGACAAGCAGCCAGAAAAAAGGAAATTCCCCCTCAATTCTTCCTTTTCATTCGAGGAAGAGGAAGACCCTCCTGTCTGTGGGAAGTAGCTCAGGGACCTGCTCTTGTGGGGAGAGGAAAGTGCAAGAGGGAATGGAAAGAAGAAAACTGGGAACCGGTTTTCTTTCCAAAGAAAGATGATTGAGCAGTCCGGCCTTTAAGTGCGAGCACGGCTGAAGCCACAAGAGCGAGCTCGAGTCTTTCCGCGCCTTTGCTGAGCACGCACGGTCGTGCAGTGCAAGTGTCATTCTGGGAGACGCGTTTGTGCTTGTAGCTTTGGCTTTGCTCGCGCACGGAGTGAAATGGAGCCGGTTTGTCTACGAGCTGTAAACTTTTCTTTTAATGCATCATTTTCTCATTTACGTTGTCAAAAACAGAAAATTAAAGTCCGACGCCCCTATACTGTTAAATGATAATAGGCTGAAGTCAATGTGTTCACAAAGTAGAGGGCACGCCTGTAGGTGTATCGGGTACTATGGTCATTGACGGGAGAAGAACAACAGGGAGGTCTTCCAGTTCTCCTGCCTTGGCGTGAGCTTCCTACCTCTGATAACGCTTTGTTGTTTCGTCACCTTGATGCGTGCGTGCGCGGTCCAAGCACAGCCGAAGTCAACAAGAACGCGTCGGAGGCTGGGCATTCGAAAGACGTGCCCTATCATTCTCATTCTGTCGGTGACTGTAGGCCAACGCGCTCTTTATAAATGAATCTGCTGTCCACACTGGGTGTGGGCACCACGCGTGCTTAGAAAAGTGCCCGACAACGACGCCACCGCAGCCGCGGGACTTTGTAGCTGCGCGTTGGTGTACAACCATACTCTTCCAAATTTCCGTTTCTGCATTGAGAAAAATCTGGCTTTGAGTCTGCCCGTTCTCATTCGTTCTCCGCTCGACCTCGTTGCCTCGCAGCAGACAACATTTGGCTGTCCTGCCGAGGCAGATGTCGAGATGGAAGCCGGACTGGATAGGCCGGCGGAATCGGATGGCGGCGGCGACCCTGCCGATGGCGCCCTGACGACGACCGCCTTCGGCACGAAGGTCGCGGACGATGACTTGTTGCATCGTGTGGAAACGGCGACGGTCGTGAAGTCCGAAGGACCGGAAGGCCTCGAAGCTGCCTCGGAAGCGCGCCCCAACACTCCTGAGGGTAGTGGCGACGACGACGACGGAGGACGCAGCGACCGAGGCGCCGGGGAGTCCCCTGAGCAGCTGTTTCCCGGATCGAGGAGCGATCTGGAGCTGGCCAGTTCGTCGACATCCTACCTCGAATCTCCGGATTGCGCGACGTCTGCCCTCGCTCCGCTCGTGGTGAAGCGCGGTCCCGGCAGACCTCGCAAGGATGGCTCCAGTCCCATTCAGCGCAAGAAACTGTGAGTGCTCCGCTCTCTGCACACGTCTGTTTTCGCTCCCGCCTTGGCGCATGTAGGGAGTTCCACTAAAATATTGATAATCGTAGATTTTTATCAAATTTTCACCATGGACTAAGTATCCATCCCTGGGTATGCCTACAAAATATCTAAGCAAAATATTAATTTTCTTTAGAGAAAATGGATTTGGAAGTTTACACGTACCCCTCCATATCACTGGCTGCTGCTCCACTGGCAAGAACAAGCAGGAACAATTGTGACGTCTTTCAAGGTCGTGTGTATTCCAGCTGATGGTTTAGGAGCAAAATTGCACTGATCAAAAATTTGGTGCCGCCCTAAACCTCATGCTTACCTTAGTCATCTGCATTTTTGGAGTGTTTAGACGGTAATTTTCTCGAAGGTTGTTTTATTTCTGGAGTTGACATGCAATTAGCTAGGTCCCTCGTATCAGTACGTTGACTGGGGATATTATGCCTTTTAATGTAAAAAGCCTCTTTGCCATTGAAATGCGGTACTTATCTAAGAATATATACTGTACAAGGCCTTAATAGCCTATGCCTTAGCAAACCCTCCAAAGAAGACGGACGCTCATCTGGATACAGGGGCGGACTTACCAACATGTGGAGTAGGCAGCTAGCTGCCTAGGGCAGCAGAATTTTGGGTGCGGCCAATTTGTGGCCACCCTCAAATTAATTGGCTCTTTATTTTTTAAATTTAGCTCTGAATTTAGTTACTTCTAGCCCCAAATCTAGCTACTTCTGAAAACATGAACAACAGACTTGGCAACCCCCTTCCTTTACTCATCATGGTTACTGATCATGGGAAGCAGGGATTGGGGGTGGGAGGGTGGCATTGGTTGAGGGCTGCCTAGGGCGGCAAAATACTAAACCCGCCTCTGTCTGGAGAAAATAGTGACGCACACAAAACCAGATTTAATAGTGATGTGAAAGGAAGAGTGGCACTTCCCCTACAACACAGTGGTGTCACTGCTCAAATAGGCAAATTTAATTTACAATGCTGTTAGTGTTTCTAAAGGAATGCATCAATTGGACCAAAAGATCTCCCAAGAGTGCTATTTACTATCAACCAATATGAGCTGTCTATAGCCATGAAAAAGCTGTTAAGAATATGCATAGTAATTATGACAAAGAAAAAAAGTTATAATCTCTAGCAATTTATAATATATTGCCTAGGAAGCTGTAAAAAATTTTAGAATAAGAATAATTGAGGAAATAACATAAGCAAATTAACACTTAATGGAAGATTATTGGATAACTAGACAAATATTCCTCTCAAAATGCAACCAGCTAGGGAGACAAACATTAACCTATATGTAAACTTTTACGAAACTATGAAAGATATGTAGGATTCCGTGTTTTCAGAGTTTATTTTTCATTGTATTTGAAGGGTGTTTTTCAAAGTTTGTTTGTTGCCGAGAATGTGGGGTTTAGTTTATTTTTATTTGATTCCCAATTCTCTGAAATTCGGAGTAAATTTTCTAAGTGTTTCATATCAAAATAAGTAAATAAATAAATAATATCCGGGTCTAAACATGTGCTAGATAAAATAA